CTCTATAAATGTTATAAAATAATTATAATCCCAAAATTTTTCTTATTTGGAAATGAAGATGGTTATAAGAAACGTTCAACATCACTTGTAGTTTTATTAACAAATTCTCTTAGTCGAATTTTTATAATTAAAATATCTTTTCAATAAATTCTCTATCAAAAATCTCTAATTACAGGGATATTTGTATATTTTTAAACATGTGAGGTAACAAATGTTTGTATTAAATTAATTACAAGTATAGAGATCTTATTTTAGTTACAATATATTATTTAAAACATATGCTACAAAAGATATAATTGTTCACAAAATTCATGAAAAAATTTTTTCTAAATTTTTTAAGGAAACTTTATGTAAATATTATTATAAATAGTTATTATAAATATGTATATTATTCGGGGAGTAATATTAGCAAATACTATGTGTAGATATATAATTCATTTTTATATCTTTTGCAGGGATTATTATTCGGTTCCTATAAACAATATACATTTACGTAAGAAAGCCGCTGTCGTGTACACGTCTCTAGAGATTCCCTAAATATGTTATTTTCAAAGCACATATATTTAATTAAAAAACTTTTGTGTATTTATAATGCACTATTATAATGTTTCCTGCAATAAAAATCAATAAGCAATATTTCATTTTTTCTTTTTAACTGTAATTTTCCAAAATGTACCCTTATAAAATTGTAACTGTAATTGTAATTGTGTGTATGTAATTGTATATATTTAAATATCTATAATTTTAATTTTTTGTGTATTAAAATTTCTAATTGGTATATTATTGAATTTTGTTGTATTATTTTCTTCAAGAATTTGAAATCATGCATTAATTATATGTTAATTATTAATTTCACCGAAAGAATTGTTAATATATCAAATATATTAAATATATTAACATTTTTAATTACATATATTATAAATTAGATATAGATACAAAATATTTCAAAATTGTTCTAATAAGAAATTATTACTTTAAAATTTAAATTTAATCTTATCATTTTTTTATGGTCGAAAAGTAATTTTATGTAATTTATTCTCTTCTTCATCATTTATACCCACAAAAATTTTTTAATACACAAAACGCGTTTTAGTTACCCGGCAACTATGCGTTCATCAAACCATATATATATTGAATTGATATTTCGTTGGATAGTTCATTGTCAGCTGGCATGGTACCGACTGCCAGTGTATACACGATAGTGAATTTCGCCAGTGTTGGACTTAATTATCATGCTGGTAAATTGAGGCATTGTATTGATCGCGATAAACGCATGCGCGTTTATTATCCGATCGCATACTGGAGGGGTACATAACGTTACGTGCGAATAGTCCCCGAAGCCGAAGCAACTGCAAAGCTCGAGATAGTGCAAGTCCGTAGTAGTATGTCAAGAGCAGTGTCGCACGTGTTTACCAACGTTTTGCGAGGGCGACAGTGATCATTTGTGATCTTGGGGCTTCATCCCTGCATGGTATTCGATTTATTAAAAATCATATCGAAGCTCAATTCATTAACTCGCGAGAAAAGATGTGTTTCGATAGATATATATTGGCCTATTTTATAAAAATTTTCTATTTATTTATTATTGTATTATTTTTAGTAATAATCTTTGAAAAAGGTATTTATATATCGGGAATTTGCCATCTTCAGGAGAAATATTCTTTATTGTAAAATAATTTAGAGAATAATAACGAGAGAGCATCGTCTGTTTTGACAGCTGCGCTTGTGCTATTCAAATACAACTTGCAAAATATTGACTGCTTTCTAGCGTTTTTTATTCAATATTACATTATCTTGCTTTTAATTACGTTGGATAGTTCATTGTCAGCTGGCATGGTACCGACTGCCAGTGTATACACGATAGTGAATTTCGCCAGTGTTGGACTTAATTATCATGCTGGTAAATTGAGGCATTGTATTGATCGCGATAAACGCATGCGCGTTTATTATCCGATCGCATACTGGAGGGGTACATAACGTTACGTGCGAATAGTCCCCGAAGCCGAAGCAACTGCAAAGCTCGAGATAGTGCAAGTCCGTAGTAGTATGTCAAGAGCAGTGTCGCACGTGTTTACCAACGTTTTGCGAGGGCGACAGTGATCATTTGTGATCTTGGGGCTTCATCCCTGCATGGTATTCGATTTATTAAAAATCATATCGAAGCTCAATTCATTAACTCGCGAGAAAAGATGTGTTTCGATAGATATATATTGGCCTATTTTATAAAAATTTTCTATTTATTTATTATTGTATTATTTTTAGTAATAATCTTTGAAAAAGGTATTTATATATCGGGAATTTGCCATCTTCAGGAGAAATATTCTTTATTGTAAAATAATTTAGAGAATAATAACGAGAGAGCATCGTCTGTTTTGACAGCTGCGCTTGTGCTATTCAAATACAACTTGCAAAATATTGACTGCTTTCTAGCGTTTTTTATTCAATATTACATTATCTTGCTTTTAATTATTTTTTGGAAAAAATATCTGTGTAAATTTGGAATATTTTATTATTAGCAAGGTATTTTTTCATCAAAAATTAGGATCGGTTATTTAAAAATTTTTTGATAATTATTTTTTCGAATAGATAAAAATGTTTGGAATTTGTAGTCTATTTGTTTTTAAACTTTATTGTTTTAAAAAATGATTAAACAGCAATTTGTTGCTGCTTCTTGATGTTCTATTGCTATCTATTTATTATTATTTTGATATTTAATTTTGATATTTTAATTGATATTTAATGATAGATAATTAATTAAAAGCATGTTGTAGATATATGTTTTAACATATGTATATATTGAAATAATAACGCGTACGCGTTAAATTGCTTTTCATTGATAACAGAATCGATAGCATGCGACACACGGTGAAAGTTGTATATTTTGACAAGAATATTTGTGTCACACAGTTATATAATTTGTGTCCAACTTTTAAATTGTTTAATATTTGGTTGATTGCTCTAACAATATAACAATAATCAATAAGCAAAAATTATAATTTTTTATATTATTCACACATAGCATTATAATTATGTAAAAATTATCTCAAATATAAGCATTTGTAGGAATTTAATTTGATTCTAATGTATAAATCCTTGAGCAACAGCTGTTAATATAAATACATTTGTCAACATAAAAAATTGCGTGCAATATTTCTTTCATAAAAAGATATTAAATTGTTATTTTAAAAGCGTTTTATGTGATAACTACTAGAGAGAGATTTGTTTTCGCATTTATATAGAGAGCGATGCAAGTATGTATATCAGTGCGCGAAATATTGAAGAATAGTTTTCGAGAGTTGAGAGAGAATAAAGGGATTATGTGTAAAATCGCATTTAAAATATTTTGAAGCAGTAATGCAAAGAGTTTCTGTCTTATTAGAAACGCGATTATTCAGCGTTAATTCGCAAATTTGCTATCGCGATATTCATTATTAGTGACTTTAGTTGCACTTTCCGTTTGACACTTTTGCGATGTTTGTTTTGCATATGGAATATATAATATATTAAGTCATATTTCGCGTTGTGTGATAATGAGGCGCCCGTCAGACAACGATAAGACAGTCGTTTATTATGATGGGCGCAGTTATGTCACACTGCTCTCTCTCTCTCTCTTTCTCTCTCTATTTAATTCGACGCATTCGCCGTTTCGCAATATTTCTAATTGACAGATCGCATTTGCATCTGTGATTCGTATCTTCGTATTTATTGTCACATGACACATATATAAACGCAGAGAGATGCCTTTCTTTTTTTCTCTCTCGTTATTGTACATACTTTGAAAATGTCCGCACGCAAATAAGCACATCTAGCATAGCGCGGAGCTGCATAATATAGATAACGCTGCATTGCAGTTGTGTGCCACTGTGAACTACAGTCGCCCACATGCTTTGTCGACATCATTCACTCCCGCATAATCCGCTTATTCAATGTATTGCGTTTTTCTTTGATATTTGTTTGCTATCTGTTGGTTTGTTCGCCGATCGTTGAACCTTGCAATATTCTATACAATTTTCGCTTATTATAAGCTTTATGTAAAAAAATTACAAAATTTTATACGAGTATGTAGTATTAACATATTTAATCTCACATCTTATAACACTTTTTTTATCTTTTATATCAGAGATATGTTTTATGTGTGTGTGTGTGTGTGTGTGTGTGTGTGTGTGTGTGTGTGTGTGTGTGTGTGTGTGTGTGTGTGTGTGTGTGTGTGTGTGTGTGTGTGTGTGTGTGTGTGTGTGTGTGTGTGTGTGTGTGTGTGTGTGTGTGTGTGTGTGTGTGTGTGTGTGTGTGTGTGTGTGTGTGTGTGTGTGTGTGTGTGTGTGTGTGTGTGTGTGTGTGTGTGTGTGTGTGTGTGTGTGTGTGTGTGTGTGTGTGTGTGTGTGTGTGTGTGTGTGTGTGTGTGTGTGTGTGTGTGTGTGTGTGTGTGTGTGTGTGTGTGTGTGTGTGTGTGTGTGTGTGTGTGTGTGTGTGTGTGTGTGTGTGTGTGTGTGTGTGTGTGTGTGTGTGTGTGTGTGTGTGTGTGTGTGTGTGTGTGTGTGTGTGTGTGTGTGTGTGTGTGTGTGTGTGTGTGTGTGTGTGTGTGTGTGTGTGTGTGTGTGTGTGTGTGTGTGTGTGTGTGTGTGTGTGTGTGTGTGTGTGTGTGTGTGTGTGTGTGTGTGTGTGTGTGTGTGTGTGTGTGTGTGTGTGTGTGTGTGTGTGTGTGTGTGTGTGTGTGTGTGTGTGTGTGTGTGTGTGTTATCTCTAGTATAAATATGATATATTATTCCTTGTTATTTTAGATCAGAACTTTGTATATTAAATCTCTATTGGATACGCATAATCAGTTATAAGAATTAAAGTCACATATTAGTTTTATGATTTTATATTTTAACATTTCAATTATAATCGTTCTATTCGATTAAAATATTACTTATTTTAATAATGTATATTTTTCAAAAGGATTGGAGCTTTTAAACAAGCATTTAATTCATAATATTAAGATAAATTCTTTAACAGCTTGTGCTCTAAACTTTTAATGCACATTTTGAATTAAAATTATTAATGACATTAGTTATTGCAACAATTAAACAATAGTTCGATTTAAAAGTCACGTATAATTAACGATAATTAATTTACATGTGTAATAGATACCTTAATTTCTTCAAATGTTTCGATAAAAATGATACTGAAACTTTCTCTTGGAAACAAGCACAATTTAATATAAATTTGTTAGAAAAGAATATCAAAGATTATACATTATATTTTTATACAATGCATCATATACATATATCTCTGCATGTAAATATTAAAATGCTCTATAATATTTGTTCATTAAATTTATTTAATGTTGTAATAATTGATTAATTAAACTTTCCCGGGAAAACGATTAAGACAATGGTTATATTTGAATGGATATTTAAATATATTCTTTCCCTTCCTCCTCCCCCATCTGTTTCTCTCTCCATCCGATATTACGTGCTTCCACCCTCGCGTCGCCCACATTAATCGGAAATTCTTGCGGCGTCGAATTGCCATAGACCCGTGAACGTAATCGATGATCTATCTTTAGACGCCACGTAGAAAGCTTTGTTTAGGCTTTTGCACAGTAACATCCGGTAGTTCTTTATTTCATATTTCTTTCTTCATTTTTATGCAATTATATTTTTTAAAAACCGTATGTTATTAAATTAAATTTTTATTCTATCCTAAAATGATCGTGTCATAAAATAATCAATTGTTGAAAAGTTTTATAGATTATTTTCAACAATCCATCGATATGGATAACGTACATATAGAAATGAAATTTGAAAAGGCATTGAGTAATAAAAAATGTTTTAATGTATTTGAGAAAAATATCAAATTATATCATATTTCAAAAATTTAATAAATCTTTGTACGTGTGTGTGTGTGTGTGTGTGTGTGTGTGTGTGTGTGTGTGTGTGTGTGTGTGTGTGTGTGTGTGTGTGTGTGTGTGTGTGTGTGTGTGTGTGTGTGTGTGTGTGTGTGTGTGTGTGTGTGTGTGTGTGTGTGTGTGTGTGTGTGTGTGTGTGTGTGTGTGAATTGTATATTTTATAAAATTTATGTCTAAGTTGTATAATACTTTTTAAAAGCAGTAGATTTTGCAATTCTTTCATAAGTTTAGAATTAATTGTAATTGTCCAATTTCAATATCATTTTGCATTCTAATTAAACATATTTATATTTTAAAAGCGTATAAAAATTGTTTAAGTAATACTTACTAATTAGATTTTTATTTAATTTTATTAATTAAAAATTGATTTTCAAAGATGTATTTTTAACACTATTTGATATTCTTTATATATATTGTTTTGCGTGATAATATTAATATATTATGTGATAAATTACGTAATTATGTGAAGATAAAATCTCTGCAAACGCAAATAGCCAGAACAAAATAAAATTGTGTTTTACCAAAAAACTTATAAGCTGTGGTTAATAATAGTCCATTATATAGGATGTCCGTGCCGATTTTATATCTCTTGCGGTCACCAACATATGGTAGACCAATTATAAAAGTCTGTTCAGTTCAACATATCCAGTCGACAATGGACGATTGTTTCGACATTAATAGCGTGATTTTTTGACTTTATTTTTTATTGGTTTTACTCTCATCATTTTTCTTCTTTTCATTAAATATTAGATCAATATGTATTTTTTGCAGTATTAAGTAGAAATTATTGCAGAATTTAAAATGTCACTATATATCTATTTGTGATATTTTGCTTATTTCAGCAGTTCGATATTAAATAAATCCTCTTAAAACTGCGCTAACAAAAAAAGTGGAACACGATATAAATGGCATGCCCTTTCTTAGTCACATGTCACGCGTTCTTCTTTTTGGTGTATAATATGAATGCGAAAGGTCGCATGTAATATAGTGTAATATATGATTGAATGGACGAGCGCAAACTGTATTTAGATGTCTATTGCGATTATATTGCCTATCAATATAACTTTTGCATCTTAATTAAGATACTCTTTTAAAAAACTTTCGATGATTTTATTCAATCTCCTCGGAAATAGAACGGTTAATGAAAGTCTAAGATTCTATCGATTAATCACCAGTACTGTCATTTTAATTTTTTACGCTAGTATAGCTGACATAAAAACAACATAACATAAATTATTATTAATTAGTTGAAAAATATCTTATTATTTTGTTTTTATGTCAACTATACTAGCGCAAAAAATTAAAATGACAGCACTGATGATTAATTAACAAAATTTTAGATTTTATTCTTTAAATTCACAGAATTTTATTAATTGTTCCATATTCATGAAGATTGAAGAAAATTGTAGATATATATCATACATCCACACAATAGCTACTTGTATTAATTAATTACACGCAATGTAAATTGCAATTTATTTTTTTTACATTCGTAATTTTTTTTTGTTTTTCTTTTTTGTACCAAACATTCTTTATTTCTTTTTATTATATTTGCAAAATAACACAAACTTTTAAATAAATGTAAAAACGATTTCAAAATGTTAATATTATTTTTATCACGATTCATCGTTATCACTTTACGCATAGTGCGCGTACATGAATGCATAGATGAGTAGGCGGGCACAATGGCCTATATACATTGGAAATGAAGCTTTATATACCTCTTATCTGAGATTACTGTCAGCCTTACTCGTTTTGTGCGGCGACTATATAGTCGGCGAGATAGGTCGCGTTTCGCAAATTGCTTTGAAGAAATGCACAATCGGCATCCGGCATAAACTGCTACAGTGAATTAGAAACTGTTTTATGATTAGCAATCAAACAGGATTTGTCGAGTGCACTCAGATTGTTACACAATTTTTCTCCTTGTTAAAATTTTATAACGCATGAAATAAATTCGACACATCGTTATTTTTAATCTCGGTTTGGTGATCCGAAAACGTTACGTAAGAGAGCAATAGTTTTAATTGCTATATTTTTAATAGCAATAGTTTTAATTGGTATATTTATTATTCGTATATTTTTAAAAAGTTTTTATAAAACATAATATCTTTGTTTTTAAATTTATGAAGAGAAACTTGTTCTATTCTATTTATTTATGATATAAAAATACAGGAATTACGTTTGTAAATATAAATTATAACAAGTTGTCAAGATATAATTTCTATTCATCCAATTCGTATGTCTTTTTTACGTAGCAACAGTTTCTATTTTCCCTTTACTTTTTGCAATAACGAGGCTTTGTAAAATATTTTATTTCGCATATAAATTTCTGATAAAACAAAAATTGAACCTGAGACTTTATATTAATTTAAGAATACATTCCGTATTATTATTTTAGACTTAATCTATTTACGTCATGAAACACACTGTTGTTTTAATTAAAATTGCAAATATATGATAAATATTTGTGTTTCGCAGTACGTATTGTTAATCTCAATCAGCCTCAATCAGTATCTGTTATACATACTTAACAATGTACTTTTTAATCTTTAATTTCATTTACATTTATATTTCTTGCGTGTTATTATACATAATCCTAAATACGTATTGATGATTAAATAAAAACAACACATTATATAGATATGGCAAGTTTGCTGTACTGATACCGATAGTATTGCTAAATGATTCTTGAAGATACAGAGCTCACAGGTTAATTATGATACGTATTTGGTTTAGAACATGGTAGACGTTACAACGGCTTTACCATCCAATGGAGGGGGGTCGTTAATTGGACGTACCAGAGGTGCTCTCAGATCCGTGCGATCAGCTTTGGGAGGAAGCGGAGAGTATCTTCAAGGCCTAGGGAATAGAATAGGATCCGCTCTTAGTAGCAGTTTAGAGGAAAGTGAATTGACTACAACCCCTTCTTCGCCACCCTCGTCGCCGCAAGCGTTACCGCAGGCTGTCAAGCCAGAGGAGCAATTAGGACGGCGGAAACTGAGGCTTCCGAGGTATAAGCACACGTTTTGTTATCCCAAATATCAACAACAATTAACAACAATTAGTGTAAGAGCATGCACGTTAAGCATGTAGATGCTGAAACTGTATAAATTTGGTTATTCTATAAAGTAGAACCTAATACAAGTTTTATTGATTAGACTAACGTTTCTTGTTTGCGATTAAAATGAGTTTCTGAATTAATAAAATATATGTAAATTTTTCTTACATATTTTTTTTTCTAATTTATTGTCAAGTATATTTCTCTAATTTATTGTTAGGTATATTTTTCATTTTATAAATATATGATATATACTTATGTCAGAAACATTATATTTATAATATATAAAACAATTTTTTACTTTTCTCTAATAATTTTTTCTTGTATTAGATTTATTACGTTTTTTCATATTTTCCATTATATTTGTAATTTAAAAATTGATTTCCTATTCAAGATTAATCATGTATGTACTAGTTAATATTGTATAAAACCGATACATATATATAGATATAGATATATATTATAACTTTGCTATAATGTATATTCAAATTTTGCTGTAATATGTATGTGTGTATGTGTGTAAATTTTAATTGTATATGCAACTATATGTATATATTAACATACGATTATACATCGTGCACATTATAGTATGGATTTAGAGTTGTCTGCAAAGATAATATCGTAATATTTGTTTCTCATGAATAATTTACGTTCTGACACGCAATATCTCCTTTGTAGATTTGGCGCGGGATTATGTTACGAGGATTATGAGGCAATAGCGCGGCACAAATTGGAGCGACAAGTAACCGGCAATCTTTCCAGAACACGGAAGTATCCGCCCGGAATGACGTACGAGGAGATAGCGTCTTCGAGATCGGTCTCGAATAAAAAGCAAGAGAGCCGAACGGAACAGGAGGTCAATCAGGATATCAGTCCTGATCGGGACAGCCAGGAAAGTATAGAGCCTCTTCAAGAGCAGGACATTAAAGCGACCGGGCCCGATCCTTACGAGAAGTTGAATTACAGAGCAGGTGATTAGTCCTCGCCTCTAGTTATCCGCGACGAACGTCGAACGAGTCGGAGTCGATGACTCTCATCCTCTTCGACGATGGTCGCTATCTTTCTCTCGCTCGCGATTGTCGCGAATATGCAGTTATCGAGACTCGGATGGAAATAATATGCTGTATTCTTCTTTCTTTTCACGAAGCGAGGGCGCCGACCCGCTATCAGACGGTTGTTTTCCGTTTAGGTAAATGTAACAATCAGTCAATGTGGACTGTCCCTTTGATCTCACCCGCGAGTCTCCTCAGTGTACTACACTAGGGATGCTTCAGTTTAAAGTATCGATACTTGTATATATTCGAGCCATTTATTCAAGTGTTAATCAATATTACTTGATACACTCTTGAAAATTAATTTAAAAAATTGATTTGCAATATTTGCAATATTCATGGAAAAAATAAGATTAATGCAAATAATTAATATGTTTTTTAAAAATACATATATGGCATTTTTTTTCTTAACATTAAAAAGATCTACTTTATAGAAATTATTAAGTATTATATTTAGTTCCTAATAACGATGAAATATCAATTAATCGTATAATTAACATCAATTAATCGTTCAGTTCTGACTTAATTCTTCTCTTCTATATACAGATATGAAGTTCTAAAACAATGTAAAATTATTTTTTATCAACATTTAAAATATATATGTATATATCATATATATATATATATACATATATATAATCCAAACAAACTCTCGATACTTTGGTGTTATCGTAAGCATTCCTTCTCACGTGCCCGATCCTCCAGACTTCCTCCGCTAGATGTGATTAGTGAATACTAGTGCAATCAATACGCGTAACCCGGTGTTCGAATATCCATGTGTCGATTCTGATAAGACTTCGAACGATTTGACCTAGAAATATCACACACATACACACACACGATTTTCGTAATTCAATATATCATGATGCAAGTCTTATTTAAGTAAATTAAAATTTAATTTGCTTTAGCTTCTCGTCATATAAATTATAAAAAGTATAAATAAAAATTAGAAACTTACAAAGCTTATATAATCAATCTTGTAATATTGACATTTGTTTTATAAATCATTAACGTAATAAAGATGCATTTATAATGGAGATATTTTAATTATGAAAAGGATGCTATAAAATCGAGAAGAAAAGAGAGAGAAAGAGAGAGAGAGAGAGAGAAAAAAAAACAAACTAATTTGCATTATATATGACACATTACATTGAGTTTAAGACATTATATTTAGTAACATATTAATCTGTTAAAAGAAAAGCTATCTGATTATAATAAACTTCTTCATTTTCTCAAATTTCTTTAAAATTAAGATGATTTAAAACGATAACACTTTTCTCTTGGACATATTACGTACATATCGGCTCTTGTATATTCGAACATGTCAGAGAGAACACTCGTAGTTTCTTGCCAGACGTTGCATCCATTGGTAAAGATGTTGTTACTTGTGTATATGTGTGCGTATCTTCACGCGACCCACCTATGCACCCCGATTGCATCCATGTGCATTTCCATGCGACAAGGGACTCTATTCTACATGGATGAAAAATAAGTCCTACTGCGTGATAGAGTAGTTTTTCGCGATAGACAAACCTATTATCAGTTATCATTTATTATCAGTTGAACCCCTCTATTATTTCCGCAACGTCACGCGATTTATTGCATAATCGACAAGAATGTAGATAGAAAATAGTTAAGTAATATCGCGTAGACATATACGTAATGTTTATCGTATGTAATAACGAGGTAGTCATAAACGCGCTTTGCCATATCTCATTTTGATTGTAAACTATCGCGATATTAATATCTCTATAACAATAATAAAAATTTTAAGATTCATAGTAAGACTGTAGCTCTAATTAAATAATTTTAAATATAATTCTAGCGTAAAGTATCTTATTTGTATATAACAATTCTATTCTTACAATACACTCATACAAATTAAAACAACACAGTTAAATGATTGCATTTTACTTGTCTACAATTTTAACAAGTACAAAGAGAATATTATATATTCAAATAAATAGATAATTTATACTGCATATATATATATATATATGCTTATTTATTTTATTTCGGGTTTATGTGATTTTCATGTGACTCAACAGTAATTTAGAACTAGTAGATGAATTCGTTTGTATAATTACGCAAGAGTGACCAACACTTTGTTGTGTAGTCCAGCGAACTTATCTTTGTCGTTTGTTTCTCTGTTCAGTGAAACATTAGATTAGATTGGGTTGCAAGTTTGTGTCGCTCTTTTGAGCGTGACGCACTATTGCTTGACATGTTGAGCTACAGTTGCCTTAAAAATTATATAGAATATTTGACAGAAAGCATTTTTGTATTTTAGACATACCTTGTAGTAGTGATTCTACGAGCGATCAAGATGGATATGGACCCAGCACTAGTTTAGATTCCAACATGGATGGTCGTAGAATGTGGCAGAGATCAGGTAATGTTAATTTTAATTATAGAGCTATTTTAATTTTAAGATATTCGAGCTTGAAAAATAATTTTAATTGTCTAAAAATAAAAGTCTGGTATAAATTAGAAATTGTAAACAGTAGCGCTACAAATTACAGTATTGCAATGCGATTAATATAATTATCGCTACTCAGGATCATCAGGTTCTGTTCAGTCCTGGGCCTCGAGCTTATCGGCTGATAGTCAGTCGGAGGAAGCAGCCGCGGACTTTATGAAAGCTTTCGTACCTCTGTTATTCGATGCACCTAATAGTATCGATCAAGAGCAAAAGGCTAATTTTGGACAAATGGTCTTGGTACGTGTCAAATAAATTTTATATATCATTTCGATAACGATTGGTATAACACATGATCTTAAAGTAAAGCGTAAAAAAATATTTTAACTAAATTCCTCCTCGAGTAAGAAAATGTAGACTTAAGATACTAATAAAATCAATTATTATCTTGGTATATTAGGAGTAAGACAATTCATATCCTTTTCAAAATGTTCGATTAAATGCAATAATAAATTTGTAGACCGAATCGGGAAGAATATGGTTCTCTAGAGTGGTGAATGCGAGAAGAGCGCGTGCTTGTGTTACGGAAGCTTCATTTTATTCCTTGGCACAACATTTCGCGGTCGCTCTGTTTGAATGTCACGAGGCGGACGACTTTGCACCCGCAAAAAGTCTCATGAACATGTGCTTCACTTTTTATCACGAAGGTAACGAAAAACTTTCTATACACATCAAGTTGTAAATAATATCAAAATTCTACAATGTTAAAATGATTGAAATTTTTTAAAAAGAGAGAGAATAACATAGTAATATTATAATAAAGAAATTATATAATATATACGTATAATGGATGGATATATATAATGGATAAAATAATTATAATATATATCATATCTAAAAGAGATTATAATATATAGAATTTTCTATATTATAATATAGAAATATTATAAACAGAAGAATTATATCAAACACATATAATGATTAATATGATACTCTAATTATTGTATTTTTTTTCTGTTTCTCTTTTTACTTCTTGGTATATTAATTAAATAATCAAAAAATGTATAATGCAACTCATACAATTTTTTATATTAAATTGTAATAATAGTAAAATGTGATTATTACTAAATTATCAAAATTATTATGTGTATTTTTTAATTTGTGAATTTTGCTTGTTTTAATTGGACTAATCAATTTATTATATCCATATTTTTGGCTAAGACCTGTGCATTCATATCAACGTACTTATGTTTTTAGTCGAAGTTCCTGGGTTAGAGCCCTATCGTGAATATTTGTACACGCATTTACGCGTTCAACCGATATGGACGTCCATGAGATTTTGGACGGCTGCGTTTTTCGATGCGGTTCAATGTGAGCGAGCATCAAGACCGGTACCGCCTCGACCAAAATCCTTAGATCAAGAAAGCATCGCCGCCGAAGATCGAAAGTTTCAAGCAAACATTGTCTTCGGACAGTTAGGGTAACTCTATTAATATTTGATTTATGTTTTATGGGATATCGGATTATTTTATTCATCTTTTTTATCTAACAGGACCTTTACTTGCAACATGCATGCTTTCGGCCTGTCACGAGCTTTATGCATGGAGTTTCTCCGAAAACAATGCATCATTGCAAATTTAACCAAAGGTAATTATTCATGATACGATGCGTTTTTGAATTGCCAATTTAAAATAATGCAGATGTTATTCATATTTCGTTTTTGCAGAACAAGAGAAGATGCTGCGAGATAACATAGATCGAATGTTTGATGAGACCGAGCCATGGCGGTAGTTTAATTTGAGTGCGAATAAGATCGATTTTGAAAAAATACTTTTAAGAGGGAATTTACCTAATATTTCTTCTTGAAAATATTTTCAAAATAAATCGAGTCATCTTTATAAGATCGAAAAAACGGCAAAGTCAATTACGAACGAAATTTTGTTAATATTGTTGATGAAAATCAACATTTGTTGAATCTTACGCCGCATTTGACACTGGACACGTCAATTTCTGAGATTCAAGTATTGCACAAATTCGCGCGCCTTAAAAATTATGAGAAGTATATATGTATTATTGTATATCTTACTAAAATAACAGTTCTTACGTATCAAACATATACAATAGTTCTATAAATTCGCGCATAAAGAAATTAATTCTATAACAGAAATTAAGAGAAATTGAAATCTGACAGAGAAAAATTTGTTTTGGAATATTTATAAATTTTAAAATAAAACGTTAGAATTTACACGGAGCGATGAGATAAATTTAAGGACAGAAATGACAATAAGATTTGAAAATGGAACTGCATTATTGACAGCTTAATCGCAAAGTGTAGTTTATTGAGTGCAATTTATTATGATAAGCAACAAAATGAAAGAAAAAAATGTTCTCCTTAGTAGAGGGCGTAATTCATAATTCGATATATATATATATATGAATGATTCTCGATATATCAAAACTCATTTTATGCAACTCTTAAATAAGGATCGATACACATATATTTTCTTAAATAACTCTTATTTTATAACTCATATACGATTATTTATCTATGTAGTTTCTTTTATTCTATTCTAATCACAACATTTAACATATATATATAAAGAAGTTTTGATGTATCGAGTATTAGCTGTAATGTAAAATTAAGATCTGCAGTATTCTTATAATTAAATTCGTCGTTTTTACATCCTGAAATTAGTGGCTACAGGATATAGCTAATCACAAAAACGCAAATTATAGACAGATGTTACTTTGTATTTTCATTGCTTCTTTGCTAGAAAGTAGTAAACACAAATCTTTATGAGTTATAATTTTTGCATTAATTTACCGATGTATGACTGAATATTATACAGTTTGTAAGTGGAATTTACAAAAATGTAAGCAAGTATTTCTTTGCCATTATTAAATAGAAATATCAATACTTGTTCCTCTAATAGCGAGTGCCAGCTAATTGTAATCAACAGTTTGCGCATTCCAATGCCTTGTTATCACACATCATGCATTGTAAATAATTTAAAAGAAAAGCTTGTATCTAAACACATATCATCAAATGCAAATCAATGCTCTATTTTATTTTACATATGTCTCTATCTGCGATATTTGAAAATATAAAATCAACAAATACTAAAGCTAAATAAATTTTGTCGTCACATCAAAGTTTTTAAATAATATATTAATAAAAAAATCCCTTCTCTATTATCTATGTTAAAGTAAAAATATATAAAGTTTAAAGAAAATAATTAATAAAAAGATTATTAAGATTAATTTTATACATAATTATAGATATCTAGAAATGCAAATAAAATTAATCTAAACTCTGCAAAAAAGTTTTAGAATTAATCGATTTATTTGTCATCCTTTATGATAATTTGAAAATATTCTATGCATTTGTAAATAGCATTTATTTTCAATAATAGCTCTCAAATATTTTTTACCATTATTGGCACATAATATATAAGAATTTTCTAAATTCTGAAAATTATATAAAAAAAGTCAATTATTTTTAGATTGATTTCAATGTTTTCTCAGATTTTCGTAGATATTATTTGACAATTTTAGAATTATGCGCAAAAATATTCTTTCTACTTTCCAAACCGTTTGAAATTTTTAAAAGGGAAGGAGTTCTTGATAGTCCTCGAGAAATAGGAGACTTCTCATCACTATTATCGACATTTTTGGTATTAAGAGATTTATTTTGAAAGTTTACGGCTGAATATGACTCCCATCGATCTTCAGGAGCTACTGAAAAATTTCGTCTCCAATCTAAAGACTGTTGAAGGTCTGCCCGAGCTTTCATATATTTTCCGGATAATAATAAGGGTTTATTGTCTCCATCTGGTACCGATTTTTTATCATTTACAAGAGACTCGGTAGATGTTTCATAAAAGGATTCAGATCTTTCCGAAAGTTTCTCGAGAATTTCACCACCTCGTATCATTTTGTTAGAAAAGTTATTCGTGATGACGCTGTTTCGGGGAGATTTTAGTTGTTTCAACTTATCGATGCTCTGAATTTCGTTTCTAATCTTCAAAGCGTCCTTTCTTGTTGTATCCAATTGCTGTATGCAACTAAAATCATAATCAAATATACTCCGTGGACTTCGCATGTTTTTCAAGCTCGCTTCGATTAGATCAGCCAGGTCGAAATTGCTATCTTCAACTATGAAAGGATTGTCCGACAACGCTTCATCGGTATTAAATATTTCAGACTTAGTCGCGGTTATCTTTTTCTTAGGCTTGGTCTTCGTCTTTAATCGAGTTTTGTTATGAGGATTTTGCGTTAAATCTGAAGAAGATTTGGCATTTTCCACAGTGTTCTTAGAAAAAAACATTTTAGAAGTATTGGATTTTAATTTGCTTTCTTGTGATAATGCTATTGATTTTCTATTGCTGGTATTATCGATTTTATTAAAATACTTTTCCGATTTATTCTGTTGTTTGTCAGATAATTTGTCACATTTGGAAAGATTTTTAGCTTCCCGTTTTATAGTTGTTTTCGATGCAATGAAATTTTCCTTTTTAACATTTTTCTCATTTACGTTAAATGCAGAACTAGCATTTCCCACATTTCTTTTTTGTGGAATTAATTTCTCATTCTTTATATTTGTCTGAAATCGAGTATCGGACATCGTTTTGGGAAGTGGAATTGTTATGAGATTTATGCTGGAAGACTGTGTGCGTTTCTTCGGTATGATATTTGTGATTGAAGTTGTTTTCGAGATAGATTTAGACGCATCGTTGGTGTTTGTGTGTGTATGTGTGGGTCGCAGTAATAATTTATTAGTTTTTACTACATCATTTGTAAGTTTAATCGGAATTCGAAGATTCTGAAAAAAATATATATTTATTATATGTCTTTATCAAACACAAATCAAATTTTTATTTAACATTAATGGCTCTCTTTCATCGTTTCGTACTTTTTGATCTTTCATAGACGTCTGCATTTGTCTATCTTTGTACAGCTGCTTCCAACCATAGACCCTAGCCTTCTCCTTTTCCTCCAGGCTAACTTTGGCTTTTATGTCTCTTTTGTAAAGTATCTGCCAGATTGAATCGGCGTTGAATATCTGAAAAAATACAATCTATTAGACAAATGCATATATACATACATACGTATAATACGATTATTATACAAAAAAATATAATACATAAATATGATATATAAATATAACATAAAATTTTGGGGTTTTTTTTCTTTCTTTTAAATCTTATTTTTTATATTAATAAATTTAAAAAAATTACTGTAATAAAAACGATATAATAATTAAATGCACTATAATAATTAATAATAATGCATAATTCAGTTTTATTAATGGCATTGAATCATTGTGTTTGTTAAGCTAACAGAAAACTTTGCTATCTTCTAAAGAAAATAGAAGCAGAGCGAAAATAAAATATCACTTTAATTTTGTTAATATTTCTTTTACCTCGCAGGCGACGTGCGATAACGAGGATAATTTGATAATATCTGTTAATTTTAAATATCTTGAAATTCTTCCGATTAAATTTTTGGGTAAAGTCAAAAGAGTATTTCTATTTCCTTCGGCAATATTTTTCACGTGTTTTAATAAATGTTTACCTGTAGTGTTAGAAGTGGTAGCTTAGTAAAATGATCACAATAAAAAGATCACTTTAAACAAAATCTAATTTTCACAGCACGGTCTTATTCTTGTAAAATAATATCGCAAAAAAAGTTTTGTAATCTGCTGGTGGATACGATAAGCATTCTTTAAAGTCGAATGCCTCACCAAATCCGTAACGTATTTCGTCCTGCAAGGATTTCTCTTGATTGAATTCGATGAGCTTGGCACGACGTACGATCGGTGCTTTATGAGGTCCGTGAGAGATTTTCCACAAGTACAGAATCACCTAAAAATATGAGATGTTATAGATATAAAAGAAAAACGGATGGCGTTAATTTCATCAGTACTTCGTCTTGAAAAATCTTTAGACCGTAATAGTCTCTGCTAGGCGGAGGTGCAACTGAATACTTCACCAAGTATTCGATCTTGTTGCTCATGCTCGATGTAGCCACATTGAATTAGTTCGATCTGAATATCGCTGTTGATTGATGCAGAATTGACATGCATATCGAATCGAAATATACAAGATGATCCATTATATAGCTATCAATTTCTACATTTAATAAACATATTATAAAAAAATACTAGAAATATAATTTAATTGAATTGAGAACTTACAGCAAGAATATAGAATTGTTGGGTAATATATTTTACTATAATTAATCTTTTATCAAAGAAAATTTCATTTAAATCACACCTACATCAAAATTTAAAATTAAAATATATTGAAATATATGTATATATATAATGTATTAAAAATATATAATAATATTTTTTTTATTTAATATAAAGTCGTAATATGAACAAATTTGGAATGATAGAAAAAGTAAAACTAATCGGGACTTCTTCCTTTTCGCAAAAAACAACTCGCGGTTAGATTTTTGGCTTCGTATATTTTATTACAATATTTTCCATATGAAGAGATGAAGATAAATATATAGAAATGTCGAAGTAAAAATGGAAAGTCGTGTGGCATTACGTATAATAGTTGTAACGTAGCAATAACAATATACAAGGTAGGCTATATAGTAATATCACAATGCATGATTCACAATTTCATAAAAGTCTAGAGAATAGAATACAAATCTAAATAGAGGATGTGCTTCTCTCGATTGCCGTAGAGACGAACGGAGTGTTACATATACATTACGCGTTGATTGATCAATTATAAAATTTTCTATAGTATTTTTGTATACTTTATACTTTCGCAGGTGTATCTACTCGAGATACACCGATTCGTAACGATTGTCGCCATTATTATCATGTAAAGAAAATCTTTGATAATCGTGTCAACAATGCTTGCTCTATATTAATGGAAGAACTTTCAATCATAGTCTGTGTTTAACATTAAATGTAACATATTTGAGATTTAACACATGGTTGGTTTGAATATCATACAAATCCAGAATTAGAGAGTCAAATTTAATGTTAAATCTGTACCGTACAAATATACGTCGAAATCTTTAAAATATTTTTAATTGTTTTTATAAAATATTATTATAATTAAATTGTTGAATATATAATAGAAAGATTTACAAATAATCTTTATATTTTTTAAAGAGATTTAAAAATATTCCATTTATTGTACATTTAAAAGGAGTATAGATTTTTAATACTTGTTTTCTATTCAAAATAATGCAATAATTCACGCGTTAAGTAATATTTTAAAAACATTTAAAAAGAATATTAAATAAAATTTTAAGGAGATAATATACAGATCGATTTTTATTCGTTTGAAAAAAGCTAACGGTGAAGTAGGATATTCGTCATTGTGGAAAAATTTAGTAGTTACATATTACGTAAACCGTTATCAAATATGTATGCTCAATATATTTGTAAAAAATATATTAAAGCACCACAAATACACAAAAGAAATTAAAATAAATTACTCATTGAAATTTAATATGCCTAGAAGAACAAAAAATGAAAGAACTGCCAGAAATCTGAGAAAGACAATTTTCATTAAAATATTCTCTTTTCTAACTAGCCTTTTTAAAAGTAGTAATGATTAATTGCGACAATAGTAACGACAATCGTGCTATTTATGTTTCTCACGAAATGATTGCGCGATTGATATGACGTTTCTAGCTCCTCAGGCGATCGCTGTGTCTCGACGGTACGAAAAGTCGCGTGAAAATAAATTATTATGTGCTAGCATAATCAAAAAATCTTACGAACGACGGAATAAATCTAGACGGTATAAAAAGATTTCGGGATCTTGGGCCCCGCGGAACACGCGAACCATCCGTCGTTGTGTAAAATCTGCACGGCGCGATCGTCAGCGCGATCCGAAAAATTTTCGCGATTCGCGATCGTGCAATGACATCAGAGAGCCGAAAAGGATCTCACGCATTCTCGGCTGAGAATATATTTGCGCTTTCCCGAATAAACTTTTACTTCGGATATCAAACCTCTCTCCACAATCGCGCTTTCGCGCGTGATTGTACCGGCAGACTCGTGGAACGTTCGTAGAGCGATTGCACCAATGAATTTAACTTTGGCATGTGCATTATATCGCGAAAAATCGCTTGATAGCATCACAGAATCCTAATCTTTACTCTTGTATTTTAGAGACACTTTTTTCCGATGCACAAATTATATATATTTGCATATAGTTCTTTTTTTATTTTTTTATCTTGAGTAACATTAATATTAAAATTTTAATTCCAGTTATATAGATAAAATAAAGATGTATATTTACTACATATGCAAACAGTTACTTTGCCAATAGTATTATTTTTCATCTAGTGCATTCGCTCACCGACGAATTTTCGTGCACGAGATTTCGATGCATCCACGTGAAACGGAAGCGAGCCCCATAACATGCGTATAGTGTATCGAATATTATCAAAATAAAAAAAAAATATATGGATAAAGGAAATTTAACGAGATCTAATTACAATGCAGTAATGTTGAAACACCTTATACATAATAAATATAGGATAAAATATTATAATATATGTATATTGTAGGAATTAAAAAATCAAAATTTGTTCCAAGAAAACTGATTAATAATAAATTTTGATTAAAACAATTGATCGTCATTACATGACTAATCGTATAATAATCATTGAATTAATGTATGTATATTATATTAAAGCCTTGTTAAACTATTATATTAAACTATAATATTCGATTCACTATGCGTTATATTACATATTCAAACTTTATTTATGCGTTATAACGCATTTAAATATTTAAAGCAAGGCGGCTTACTTCCGATTTTATCACATGTATGCATTCGAATGTGTATACATAAATATGTGTGTATACATATATATATGTAAGTATATAATATGTAGTCATATATAATATCATCTGGAAGAACAGATTTGCGTATTGCGATAGCGCGAAGAAAATTGGTACGCCTTATTGAGGAAACGCTACGTCTTGTTCTTACAGATATGTTTTTAGTCATCATTTTGATCAAAATTTTTACCAGATTATGGGACAACCCAGCTCTTTCATATCACAATTAATTCTGGAACGTCAGTAGGAAATAATATTACATAACAATTCATTGCATAAAAAATTTACCAAAAAATAATATACTGCACAAAAATATATATTACATAAAAATAATATATTGCATAAAAATAAATGTTGTTCATATCCCAGTTAGCGTTCCAGATTATAATAATAATAATTATTATTATTGTGTACTTCACTATTTGTAAGTGAATGTATTTTTTCTTCGTCGTCTCATCGATAAGGCGCCCTATAGAAGATTTAACGAACACGAAGTGCAAGACGCTCGAACTTAACTTATAAGGAAACATTTGGAGAGTCCCCGATTTTAATGATTTGTATGTTATAAAACAGCTTATAAAATAAGAAATAGATATTTTTAGTATTTTTAAAAGTTGAAATAATTTCTCAGAGCAGATCCGATAAATTCATCTATTCTTGAGCGAATATCGTGGAAATTGTAAGATATATTAAAATATGTTTCAAGCAAAAGTTTGAAATATTGTATATATATACACTTCCAAACGTTTCCTCGTTAAACCTAAGAAGAGAGACAAGGAGCCGCTCAAAACTCCCCGCCAAACGGAATCGAGGGACAGGTGCATTTACTGATCGATTGACCCAATTTTCTAACGGGATATTCCAAGTGTTTATACGTTCTACGGATATTTTGTACGTCGAGTAGAATCGAAGGGTCAATCGAAGACTCGCGTCGCGGGGACGACAGCGGATGAGAGATCGATGTAGAAAAGATTTAACCGACTAAATTAACAGTTTAGAGCGTAAATGTGTGACAGAAATGTCTTCCTGTGACATGGACTTAGAGAAATATCATGCCTTGCACAAGAAGGCGCAATAAGATCAAAAATATGAGCTTAGTAAATGCAATTTTCAAGATTCGCAGTCTGTGGAAAAGTTGGAGATATCTTAATCATTTCTATCAAATGATATCAAAGCTTGTCCGGCGAATAATTGAAGAATTATTTAATGGAATCTTACAGAATTTTTTTAAAACAATTTGTCCGATTAAAAAGATTGCTATCTTTTGCTACTGGAAGTTTTTTCGCAGAATGCGAGATACGAGGTTCGCCGTTCTATCTCCAGGCCACAGAATGACATTGGTTGCTTCCAAGGTATCGAGATGCTTCGTTGCTCTCTACGATTGCTGAACGACCGACATTGCTGTCTCCGTGATCGTCCTTCCATCCCTACAAATGCTCGACGATGTTGTCGTCTGCTCGGATTGTGCGGCCGCGACAGTTGGTTGCCTTTGCTCCATGTGATCGAGAGTTTTCTCGATGGCTCGCAATCGCTTTTCCAGACTAGTGGTGCCCAGGATGCCTACTTGTAGCTGCGGTCCCAGCGGCAGAATTGCAAACAACCACCATGTCCACGACGGACCGTCCGGTAGACGTGACCAGTCCTCCTCTGTGTCCGGCATGCGTCCGAACACCCGTTGAATCTCGGACTTCTGTGAGGTAGGCACTGTTTCCCACCATCTTTGGCCCTTCGCTCGTACCTGTATAATATTATGGTGATAGATAACGGCAAATTGTCGAAAATATAACTGTGTTCTCTTGTCATTATGACGTAAAAATGTTTTTCTTTTCACCTATTTCAAGCAAATTAATTACGAATAAAAATCTTTGTAAATGTTGATTGGAAAATTTACATAAAGATCAAGATAACAAGATCATTATTTAATACTTTGATAGAAATAAGATAATTAAAGATTCTTAAGTTGTTGGAAAATAATTGTGACATTGATAATATTAAAAATTAATAATATTATATATATATATCTAAGCAGATTTCCTTACCTTATCGTGAAGTTCCAATAGATTTAATAATTGATCTTGCTGTACGATGGTATCCCTGAGAAATTCCACCTGTGCCGTATCATAACCATCCTTTTCTCCACCGGAAAGTACCCTAAATCTTCTACCACCGATCGTGCTGAGAATACTGCAACCGTCTTTGAGCAATACCCGATCTCGAATATCTAGGATAGTACCATATTCCATATTTATTAGAAATATCTATAAATTCTTACAGAAAGAGATTGTAAATTTTTTGAAGTTCTTCTTTATACATATATATTGTCTTTTATTTATATATCAAATAATTAAGGTTTGTGATATATTAATGAATAATATTAATGATTAATGAATAAATGCTATGTTTCATATTCAAATAACAAATTTTCTCACTAATAATTAATTGACATTGCGAATATTGATGGAAAGAAATAAGAGTGAAGTAAAAAAATATAAAAATAAAAATATTTGAAAATCGAGCTATTAATGTAAATTCTAATTGCACAAATTTAGTTTAAATTTATCGCAAAAGAAAATCGAGAGACGCACCTTTTCGTGCCCGTTGCTTCTTTGTTCAGACACGCGGCGATTCCGAACTGGCGCACTCCGCTTTCAACGCATCTTCTGACCATCAGCCTGTACCTAGGCTCGTAAACGAAAAGGGGACAGGCGACGCAGGGGAAGGCGGTCGTGCAAATGAAGACGGCGATCTGCTCGTTACCCAAAAGACCCAGTCCCTGGACCAGTTCGAGCCGATGACTCACTGCTCTGGAGGTATATTCCGCGGGCGCCACTGTTTTAAGCGCTTTCTCTACAAAATCCGTCACGGTTTTCTGGCTACTGGCTAGATACTGAAAAGGAAAAAATGATAATTGGTCAATGCGTTATTGTGTCGATTATATCATTTTTGAACAAATAGAACAAATAAATTATTTTTGAGATTTTCGTGTTTAAGTTAAATTATAATATGTTAGTTAAAAATATTTTTGAAATGAGAAATGGAAATAAAAACCCAGTTATGGCGCGTGTGTCATTCTATACTATCTAGATTTATACAGATTTTATACATATCTCAGCGTTAAGATATTTTTAGTTCTTGTTAAAAAATATTTTTCACAAATTCGACGTGTTGAAAATTAATAAACCAGCAATGCGGTTTATGTAATGCCAGTCACACCCCCAATAGCAAAGAGAGCGCCGCACGAAAAATCTTTCTAGACAATTACTGATATTGCGGAGATAGGACGAGGAAACAAGCAGCGGCGTGCCGCAAGATCATCGTTGATCCGCGCATCACGTTGTCCTCATCGTCATTAAATATAATACTCGTACAAGCGATCGGTAATGACGTTACGAACGCGGAAGCTCACGACTATCGCCTCGGCGACCGCAAACAATAATCATTTCAATCTGCGGCATCGTCGTTAACCGCTAGGAAGCATTTATGTCTCATTTGCGGATAGGTGTTGTTGCAGCATCTCGCGTCGATGTATTTCTATGCCGAGCTCTTTGGGATCAACGACTCGTGTGACTAATAAGCAAGTTTTAAAATATGAGAAAAGATTTGAGAGAAAAATATGTGAAGTGCGTCAGTTGTTTGAATCGTAAATTACGATTGTAATAATAGAGAAGCGGAAGAAAGCTGATCACAATAATTTGAAATCAAGGCAACCGGCACTATTTTGTACTTTGAATACAAATCATCCAAGAGTCTAGATAATTTATGATAAATATCTAAGAATGTATATATTTCTTCTATAAGTATTGAATTATATAACAGGATTCTCACATAGTCTCCTCGTTTCATATACACATATACAGGTACGTTGATTCCGAAGCTGAAATTTCTCTAGAGATATTTGATATTTTGCGAGAAAGAGAATCTTAGATTTTTTATATATTCTTATTAAAACAAATCTCCTCGGAATTATTATGAAAACTAAGTATATTCTTTATAAGCAGATCACACTATATAATAAGTGTAGGTCTAATATATCAGATTGTTGCAAATAATAGTTCTTTTGAAACAATAAAGTATTAATTCAAATTTATTAAGAGTTCTCTCTTACGTCAGCCAAAGATGTGACGCATAAAGGGCAAGCCGAAGAGTAATCTAGGCAGCGGTCCAGGCACATCCAGCAATAAGTGTGACCACACGGTGTCGTGACAGGTTTCCAGAGTAGGCGGCAACATAAGATACAGTCCAATTCCCCAGCGGTGCTGCCGGAAAGGGGTGGCAGGAGAATTTCAGCGGGTCTCGGCTCGACTCCTGCAAACGAAATACCATCTCAGGATATTTCTAGGAATATAAAGAAGATATTCGAATATACATATAAACGAGGTGACGGACGATAAAACTTACGTTTCAGTTTTTCTACATCCTGATATACACGGTTCAGACTTGCTTGCAACTTTGTATTCAACAATGGCGTAATGGAGGAACGAAGTCTTCTATTTATCGTCTGTAAAAAAAAAAAAAAGAAAAAATAAGATGAAAAGTAATATAATAAGCCTTGAACGATTGTGTGAAAAAATTGGATTGGAGATACATTTGAGATTAGAGATAAATGAAAGAATAAAAATCGGATGACAATTTACAAAATTGAAGCAATTTACTTTTAAATGCTTTTAAGAGGAAATTATTTATCTCAAATTGTACACGATTTAAATCAAGCGCAAAAAATAGTGGACAAGCAGAATTGTGTAATTTTCGAAAAACCTACCTGAGTGAATTCCTCTTCACCACTGCTATTGTCCTCGCAATCAGACCTGTTCAGGGTAGCGCATTGCCTGCGTTTGGGATGCATTAACTGATGACGGTTTCTCGTGAGTGACGCGCTCTTCGTTAGATTGTATGGCGTGCGTGACGACAGAACATTTTGCCGACGTATTCCAGGCGACAGCGCTCTGTGCAGAACCTATGACACACGTTCACAAACTTGGTAATATATGTACCAATCAAATAAGTTACAGAATGTGAAATAGACGACAAGTAATACAGATTATTTATTTCTCAAAGTGAACTTTCAAAGCTTTCGTAATATGAGATAATGTCATTAAATCTTAGAAATATGTCTATGTGTCTTTATTTAATTTATTTATTTTCTAGAAAGAAAGAGAGAAAAGGAGAGATAATGAAAAACTGACATAAAGAATGTAAATGTCAATTATTATCATTAGACTTTCTAGTTAAATTAAAACTCATAATATAATTTTATAATTTAATTCTCTTTCTTAGACTTCATAGAATATTTATGTGGAATAAAATAAATATGTATAGATAAATCGGCTAATGCCAATATGAAAATAATTTTAGAGACTAAAATGCACGTCAAAAATGTGTATTTAAATTTGGTTTACGAAACACGATCGCTATTATGGGACATGAATTCTTTCAACACAAAGAATTAATATTGCAAATTAAAAGACCATGGCAAACCAGGATTTCGGTCGAAACTTTTTCTATTGGCGACTTAAATTCATTGTTCCTTCAGTAGCATGCATATGTTTCTTGACATGTCTCATATATGCAATAATTGGAGAATTCTGAGATTAATGAGGACTCAGCCGTTAAATCGGCATAATTAACGCATGAAATATCGGGTTAGGCAATCTGCGAGACGTTTTCGGATGATGAAAGTAAAAGTACGCCTTCCGTAATATAGATCCGACCGATGGATTCAGCGGCACGGGAAAGAATGATTCCCCGATCTTACATAAGCGGCAATGCAGCTTGCATCAATGATTCCGCCATCGGGCGCTCGCTTATATAATCGTCGTACACTCGAGAAAGAAAAGAATTCAACACGCTCCGTTTTTTGAATCATTTAGCATCGAAATTTGACACGACTTGTCAGCGTTCGATTATTCAACGTTCATCGATTGTTACCATATCCAATCGCGGTTTGCAGATATTCGCGTAAATTTTGCATTGTTGCGAAATTTAATATCGATCGAATAATTTCAAAGTTAAATATCCATCGTAATGTAACATTTGACGCTCACAGCTCGGATACAAGCCTCGCAATAAATTTAAAATATTCTGTATTTGTATATCCCAGTTTAATACATTTTAATATAATGTTTTTATATGTTCATTGTCAGACAAAATATAAATTAAAAGATTTTATTTCAAATAGAAATTCAAGGAAAGGAGTAAAAACGAAAATAATGAAAAATCTAAAATCATGACACGTGAGAAAAATTATGCAGCCATCACAGATATTTACGAGGGATCGATGAATTATCTATGTGAATGGAACTTTTTCAAGAGGATAAATGAGAGGAATGCGCGACGGTTAAAAAATTCGACGTAGATTGAGTTTTGCATTATGCACGAAAGGGGATGGGAAACGCAGCGGCGCGGGGTGGAAGTCGTGCGTCACACAGTGGAAGATCGATATATCGACGCCGTCGCTACCGCGTGGAACAACACGGGGGAAACGGGCGAATTCGCTCTGGCGAGAATAACGCGGCTCGCTCGTGCGAATGTGGTTATCGTTGCCCCTCTGGCATGGCGGGTCACTCACCTGCGACGACTATCGTATACCGAGTCATTAAGCCGGCACGCGGCCGCCAGCAGTCGTGCCGGAAACGCCGCTGCGCGCGTTTCTTTCATGTCGTTGATGCTCTCCGGACGGAGACGGCATTCTCGGACGCATTGCTAATCTCGGCGCATTCCGCGACAGTCGCGCGACACCGATTGTCCGACTCGGGGAAAATGCGGATTTTTTACTTACGATCTGGCGATGATTCATCCGATTCTCGCAATCATGCCCTCTCATTTTACCGGTTACAGGAATATGCGAATATTCGATAAATTTGTGTTAACGATCGCTCGATGCGAGCTCAAATTGTGAATCGGATCTGGATGATCGATAATATCTGGTTACCGGGAGAATTTGAAATATGCGAGGTTTTTCACGGCAAAAAGCAAATTTAAATTTTTAAATCAAAAATTTTGGAGTTGTTCAAACTTATTGTCGGACAATGCAATTCGTATTTTACACAAATACCTTGAGATTTATCCAATTTATTATATATTTGATTGATGTTTAGTAATTGTCACACTATTGATTTTGTTAATTTTTATAATGAAAGAACAATAGCGAAACATACCTTGGTCAATTCATGGCGTACAGCTTGCGGATTTTTGTCAATAGCCACGCTAATGCAGAGAGCATAGATTGCTTCCTCGTGTCTTCCAAGCGCCGACAAAGCGATCCCTCTTCTATAATGTCCCTGAAAAGATGTAAAATGTTATAAAAATATAAATTTTGATTCTATAAATAATAATTTTATAATTATTTTTCCTTTGATAGTAATAAAATTATATAATAATAATTTTAGTATATACATTTAATATAAAGTTGATAAAATTGTCATTCTTGTACATATTCTAAGTTACAAATTGGAAAGGTGTTGTAATGTGAAAAGTTTTAAATATTAAATTTTCCTGTAATTATTAAAAAAAAAAAACAGTTTGTGTCAAATTCAATTTAAAAATGAAAACTATAATTGAAATATATACATATTTTGATTTAAAATACACACGAGAAAATTGTTCTATTATCTGACACATGCACTGATTATATGTAGGCGTAAGTTCTGTATTTTCTCACCTTGCCCCAGTCTGGCCGCAATCTAACTGCATGATCAGCGTCCGTGAGAGCGGCTAAAGGCCTATTCAACAGGAGCAAGACGTGAGCTCTGTTGCTACGGTGAAGCGGGCTATTCGGTGCTGAAACACGAAAAAATAAGCTAAGATTATTATGAGATAATAAACAAATTTTATATTTCAAAACATTTTAAAATTTATCCCGTAGAAAACGAGGAATAATCAAAATAATTTTGCTCGGTTCTATGTTTTGAAAGCTATGGAAATCCAATGTGTAAAACTGATTCATGCTGTCGCATGTCTCTTTGGTGACGAGAGTATTATTCTTCGATGTTATATCTTGATATCTTTATATATTTTATGCAACAAAAGAAACGCATAGCAGATGCAATTGCAAATAATTAATAACGTATTTGATGATAAAATTGCATTTTGACAATTTTTCCTTATAAATTTATGTATATTTATAATGATATATATATATATATATATACAAACACGTACATATTAATATAACTTTATTGATATTTAGATGGATCACAGCTCAATCAAACGAGCAATCATTGACACATACGTCGATGCATATCCTCTACAAAAATGCATTCATAAGCCTAATCGCGTATCCATTATGAGCAGTCCGAGTTATTTTTACGATTAACAGCCCGAGCTCGTTTAATTCCCTGAAAACTTGTCTCACACAAAAAAACGATGATCATTTACGAACGACGGCGACGAGGCAGATTTCATGGAAGCGACCGCGGACGATGCCATCGGCCGATGCAGGCGGCGGCGGCGGCGCATCCTGGCATTGTGAGCAATGTCATTGCCTCCGCAGCTAGAGTCCCTTACTTGGTCGGAGACGAATTTCCGGCTTGCACGTCAACATCGCGAATACCAAAAGCGATGTTCTATGAAAGATTTTATTTGATACTCCATTCCACGTTAAAATAAATTGCAGAAAAAACGCATTTAAACTCGGAAAAATAGCTATCTGCTTTTCAGATTTCAAAATTTTTTATTTAAGATAAATAAAAATCTTAATGTTTTAGAATTTTTTTCCTATATTTGTCTACATCTTAAGTTTTAGATAACACAAGACTTTTTTAAGAGAATGTGAGAGAGAATCTTGTATTATACTATACAGTTTTTTTCGCGGAATCTTTGCTAAGAATATTAAGTAAAGATCAAATCTGTTAATTAAATTGACAGTTGACAGACAAGTGTTTTAACAAATCAAATATTATGTGAAAGACTACTTAGACTACTTAGACTTTTAGATTTTAGATGTATATATTTTATATAATATAAAAATTTATATATAATAGATAATAATTTAGTAAAGCGATGAGTTGAAAAAAACAAAAATTTTATAAAGCTTGATATAGAGAGGAAACAAGTCGTAAAAAATTCAACTAATATCTACTTTTTCCAGGCAATATTTTTCGAAAAATAATTGTCTTACAAATATATAAATATTCTAAGACAAATAAGCTGACGCGTGTTCTATTAAGTTTCAGTTCAATAAATGGTAATTCTGAGAGTGATCACTGTATAGTCTGTAACGCGACAACAATTCGCATAATTGCCATAGTTTATCTATGCGTGTGTGCATGCGTCTCCAGAATGAATAAGAAGCCGGACACGTATAATCATTCAACATCTATTAGTCATATACTGTCTCGTGGTGGTTTTGCAACGTTGCCCAAAGGATTCTTGAACAGCCGATATATACCAGGAGCGATTCTTATAAGCTGACTTATGTAACCTGTCTCTGAATATTACGACGGTTCGCTTTAATTTAGAAATGCGACGCGGAAAAACCTAATCGCTACGCGGACGTTGTTAGAGCCGCTTATTTTTAAAGTAACCTAAATCGGATCTTAAGAATCCTGTGAAATTACTGTTAAAATGCATGCGCAACTCACTTAATTACGTTATTCGCATGTATTCGCCTTACAATTAGTACGATTGTTCAATTATCACGCTATTTTCATATTTAATGCGTTTTACCTTAGAAAAAAAATCAAGGTACTCGAAAAGTACTTCTTTTTATTTAACATTAAATATTATCTTTTAAAATGCAGTCAAACCAATAAGTTTTAATATCAAATTTATTTCATAATCTCCCATAATTATCAGAATTAATTTCATGTCTCTTAATTAAATAATAAATGTTAAAATTGAGACTTATACAAGATTACTTCAGTTTGTATATTTCTGGCACAATTATTACTGTTATTTTATAGTATTAAATCTAATTTATAGATTATTCATCGAGAAATGAATCTTTTAAAATGCAGTCAAACCAATAAGTTTTAATATCAAATTTATTTCATAATCTCCCATAATTATCAGAATTAATTTAAATGTTAATAATAAATAATATAAATTTAAATGTTAATAGTAAATAATAAATGTTAAAATTGAGACTTATACAAGATTACTTTAGTTTGTATATTTCTGGCACAATTATTACTGTTATTTTTAGTATTAAATCTAATTTATAGATTATTCATCGAGAAATGAGTCGAGAATTCCGATCATACCGATTACGCAAGCGCTTGTGCGCGATTAAGTGCGTGCAAAGGAACGCAATTTTCCACGTGGATTGCCAAGCTGTAAGAAATACGTACAACGGGATATCGACGAACAAGTTCATTCATTAGCACGATCATCCTTCGAGTATGCCGTAAAAAATGTTGCTCTTCCTGTCTGTTCGATCGAATGCCAAGGTCCGCCTTGGATGATCGATCTCTTGCTCACAGTGACTAATCGTGTCCGTTAAAATGCATGCTTCCTAACGATCTTTCTTTTAGAAATGTGATTAAATCTAAATCAATTTTAGTCCGGATCAATCGTATACCAAGTGCTTATTAATTAAATTGAGTTGTTTCTTTCAAAGATATAATCAGAAAAAACTTTTATAGTCTTCGCAAGATAGAGAAATAAAGAGAAAAAGAACGAGAGAATTCATATTTAAAATATTCGGAGATAAAATTCTCTCTTATGATTTATTGAGATCTTTAAATTTTGACTATGTTTAGAGAATGTCAAATTACTGATTCTTTTCGGATTGGTACACAATAATATATATGTAGATTTCTGTGTTTCCCATTTTTACAATAAACAATTTTATCGATAATATAATTTGTTGTTATGTATCTTTTTTCATTTTATTTTTTATTTCCTATTTTCTTTTTTATTTTTTATTTCAAATTAGAAAATCTTTGAATCTTCAATGTTAAGAGATTTAAAAAGATAGTAATTTCTTTTTTAATTTTTGTAGCGAGATTACAATGTTTAGATATACAATATAAACGTATGCTTTAATATCAATTTTCTGAAAAAGTTCTTCAAAATTTTTTTTACAAAAAGATTAACAGTTTAAATGTTCTATAAATAAAGTTCTGTTATATCGCGATAGAAAGGAATGCGGATCGTCGATATAGCACAAAGTTAAAGATAAACCGGTTGTCAGTTTATAAATATGATAGTCGCTAAATAAATCTCTGATTCACATTTAAAATTTTGTTATATATTATTTATATCTCGAGAATATTATATCTTTATATTATATTTTGCTTAAAAATATATGAATCTTTTTAGTAAAGCTAGATTAGTCAACGTTGTCAATAATAATTATGTATAATTGTCTCTATCTTAAAAGTATAGTGATCCTTTACTTATCAGATAAAATATTATTCTCTATACATCTTTTAAAGTGTAATAATTTAAGAGAAGAATTTAAAAAAAGTTATTCTTAAAAAAGATTTTATTAAAAAGAGTTTATACACACACAAATTACTTTTTTCCAGTATTATATTTTAAATATAGAATCAAAAATTTATATATATACATACATATATATATACAGGGTGAGGCATTTATAGTGACGCGGGCATATTTTTCGGAAACGAAGTGAGATATCAAAAAATGTTTCAGACAAAAGTTGCATGGTTTCGAGGGGGCCACATGATAAAAATATGGATTTGACCT